GTTGTAAAAAAAAAAAAAAAAAAAAAAAAAAAAAAAAAGAAAACATGTGAATATATAATGGATTTAAGTTATATGCCGAATTATCAATAGGTTCTTATTAAATATTTTAGGTGATCCAATTGTGTAAATATGTTTATACTTTGGTGCATAGATCTTAAACTCATATATGATAGATCACACCTACTTTAAACCAATTACCATGCTATATGATTGAAAATTGATCTGGCGTTTAATGTTTTTGATGATTTTGAGAGTAATTGAGGTTGGTCAACATTCATATAGGTGGTTCTGTTATTAGAAATTATGTGCTGAATTGTTTATTTTATAGTTTTTAGGCTGTAAGTTTAATTTTTCAAATTGTGTAACCAGAAATGTGGTGATGATAAAGTCAAGCAAAGATACAAGATATGCAGTAGATGCAGTAGTGACACATGATGGGACAAAATTCCCATGTTGGGCATTACCTGATCTTTCATCTTTCAAACACAGATTTGGACTAGATGCATATGAAAAGGTACAAATCCTGCTCTTGATTCCCGAGTCAACAAGCTCTTCAGCCTGACATGTTAAAAACACTCTGTCTATTCTTGAGAACTTCTAGATTGTATTCACAAAAGTAATTGTTTTCACTCTACTTTATCTCATACAATTCAATGAACCAGAGCTTCGAGTTTGACATTGTTGATCTTGGATAATTGATGACGGGTCATGTGATAACTCTACTCTGACTCGAGAATTGACAGTATATTATAAGTCTTTTATAGTAGTAATTTACACCAGTAATTGGCAAAAATGAGCACCCTTTAGGACACATTTGTTGGGGGTAATATTTAAACTAAAATTGGATAAAAGCTCTACAATTTGATGGTGGATATTAGAGATTTCTCGTGTCTCTAACTTTTACCTTACTCAATTAACTATTGGATTATGGTCCCGGGGTTTGAACTTATACAAGTAAAACTCCAGAACCATCTTCTGGAGTTTGAAACTTATACAGGTGAAGCTCCAGGATGTGAAATTTTCCTGTGAGTGCAACATTGTTCAAATTTTAGTACATAATGGAAAAAACAGCTGATTGTTGATGCACAGTATTAGAGATTGTCTGCATTATACACAACAGGATAAATTGATCCAATATATGTCAGTATGTTATGACACTTGGATGAGAAAGCAGGAGGGATCTCTTGAAAAGATCTTATATAGTAGGAATAACAAATACTACTACACACTATCGCAACATAGCACAAATGGTTTAGAAGGCACAAATCAGGGCTAAGTGCTGCAGGTATAGAATTTGATGAGAAGGCAGGATAGAAAGGAGACCTGAAAATTGTGAGTCAAACTCAAGATTAGCCTTTTGAATTTGATAGAGCAATAGTCATAAAAGAACTTCTTAGTAGGAAAAATGAATTCACTTTTGTTAGCTGTGATGTGGTGTGAGTGTGTTTCAATCTCCTAGTAACTCTATTTCTTGATTAGGTCGATGTGATTGGCATTGATGAAGCTCAGTTCTTTGATGACCTTTATGATTTCTGCTGCAATGCTGCTGATCTTGATGGGAAGACTGTAATTGTTGCAGGCCTAGATGGCGATTACTTGAGGTACTCCTCGAATTCTTGAAAACTAGTTTCCAAACCAAGTTCTTTAGCAGAAAACTGTGCTCAAATATGGTATCTTGAGCCGAGGTTCTATTGAAAACAATCTCTCTATTTGCTTAAGATAGGAGTAGTTGCGTACTAACTACCCTTTCCAGATCCCACTTGTAGGAATACACCGGGTTTGGTATTGTTTGTTGTTTGTTGTTGTTTGTGCTCTAATATGGTATTGTGTGCTTGCTTGTAGGAAAAGTTTTGGATCAGTGCTTGACATAATTCCACTTGCTGATACTGTGACAAAGTTGACAGCCAGATGTGAACTATGTAACAAAAGGGCATTTTTCACCTTTAGAAAGACTAGTGAGACAGAAACTGAGCTTATAGGTGGTGCTGATTTATACATGCCTGTTTGCCGTCAGCACTATGTCAATGGACAATCTGTCAATGAAGCTGCAAAAATGGTTCTTGATTTTCATAAACTGCCAAGTAGCCTTATATTAGAAACAACTCTAGTTACTCCATAAAACTTGTGTTCAACTCCTTAAAATTATCAGCTGTCTGAAATGCTGGTTTGATGATCATGTATTTTTCCTCACTATAAAAGTAAATGAAATGTTTTGCTTCTTACTCAATTCTCTAACAGTTATCCAAAGTGACATACAGGAAAATGATGACTTAATCTTTGAAGTTTCTTTGAAGTTTTTTCTTTCTCGGTTAAGGTTAGATCATGGCTAAAGATATGCCACTGCAATGGTAAATAGGCCTGAATCTTTGATTAGAGTTTTATTTCTTGTGGTATCATAACCATTGTGAGTTCAATCAACTTACTAATACTACATAATTTCTTCAATCAAAAAGCATACACTCCTGCTTTCTTTGGGTCCTTCATGGTGAAAAGGAATAAAGAAGCTCTAGAGGCTCTTGAGCCATATTGATAGAGATGGCAATGGGCAGGGCGGGATGGTTGCGGTGCGGGTTCAATCTCAACCCGTCCCCATCTGGTATATCATAATTTTCTATTTTCAACTTGTCCTACCTAAATCCACATTGCACGCACTGCTTTAAAAAGTTATTTTCTTTTTTTTGAAAATATAATATTAAATTATGAAATTTATAAATAAAAAATTGGGTTGAGTTATTTTTTTTAATTATTATCCAAAATCTATTGATCGTAAAATATTTAATTTGTATACAATTGTGTATCCTCTTTGTAAAACTTTGATCCAGTGAAGAGAAAATTAGAATTGTTTATCAGTGTTTCTTATGCCTTTATGTCTAGCTTGTGACATGTCTTAAAGATCACCTTTAGCATTTACCAACCAATTCTATATTCAATATTATATGACCTACAGTTAGATTCAACAAACCAGGATGCGAAAATATGAAATACAACTGGAAGACAAGTTCTGTTTCCAAAGCAGTGTAAGTTGCGTCCTTCGTGACAACCCGCATAGATTCGCGACCCGCTTGTTAAAATTCATGTTTTTGTACGTGAAAGTATACAATAAGTAAATTGATGGAAGCTCGGAAATGAGATGTTACATCCCGCATTTTCGTACGTTAAAGTTTCGTCGTAAGCTAATCGATGTAAGATCGGGAATGAGGTTATTTTGAGATTATAATCATTATACTATTTCAAACACGTGATGCATAAATTCGTGAAGGAGAGATGATAAGTAAATCGAAGGAAATGAGTTTCGTCGAAGTATGACAATTTGGGATAAAATATGGTCAAAGTTATAATACTCCGTATTTATGGACTAGTGTCATACAAGGTACCACATGACTATGATTATAAGGTGTATAAAGTGTGTTAAAAGTGAGTAATACTTTAAATAATTTAAGATAATTCTTAATTATGTGAATAATTGGGTTACTTAATGATTTTGGCGGTAAGATTAACTAGGAAATTAAAATCTTTGGATGAAGACAAAGGCATTAACGGTAGCCTTACCTTATGGAAATGGTGACCCTTAAAGTTCATAAATAGGTGGCAAAATTAGAGGGATATTGTTGGCTAAGTCATCCCAAAAGCGGGGGCCCACAAATTAAAAAAAATATGACATTGTTACATATATATCACTTAAGAGGAAAATCATGGGCTGCAACGAACGCATATCATTTTCAAAAGAATTCTTATGAACTCATATAAGAGAGCTAGCTTGCTAATGGATGGCTTGCTACAGTAGCATAAAATGCGATTCTAAGAGAGCACGATGCAATCTTTCTCAAGAATATCATACAGATTTTCCCCTACTTCGATTTGTTGCTACATATTTTGTCGCAATCAACGTGTATTAGAGGGATTGTCAAGAGAATCGGCTCAGGTATGTTAAGGCTAAGTCTTTCTTTCATTTTGGCATGATCTCGTAACTACATGAGTTTGATAACAAGGCATAAAGAGAAGTTTATATTCCTGAACTTATGTACATTATCCTAGTCTCATAAATTACAATATTTTTCCTTATCAGGACTTTATATTCAATTGAGTATTGTCTTCTTCCAGTCAAGAGAGAGGAGATTATATATATATATACACACACAGAGTATTACAGTATTTTCACCACCATCGAGCTATAATCGGTGAGCAGGCTCCTATTGGCAACCTCGGATCAGATGGTAAGTTATATACCGAGCCTGCTGTGGCCGAGCATCTATGAGCGAGCCCAGCATGGCCGAGATACAGAGCCTAGTACGACCGAGCGCCTATGAGCGAGTCTACTATGACAGAGCAGTTATTTATACCGAGCCTTATAAGGCCGGACAACTATTTTACTTACTATATTGAGAGAGTTGAGTTAGTATCAGCAGGTAAGCATACCTTCAGATTATCTTTGGCTCCTAGTTACTTTCAGTTATTATATTATCAGTTCAGTTTCAGCTTTCAATTATTCTGTAGCCTTACATACTCGGTACATTATTTTGTACTGGCGTCTTTTTGTTGGGGATGTTGCATTTCATGCCTGCAGGTATAGACAATTAGTTTTACGAGCCCTCATAGTAGACGAGGTTAGCATTCAATGAAGGATTAATAAGACTCCACCTCATTCGGAGTGGAGCCGAGTCTATGAGTCATTATGTCAGAATTTTGCTACAGACTTATGGGTAGGCCGATACCCTGTCCTATTTGATGTCAAACTTCCTTAGAGGCTTTGTAGACAGAGGTTCATTTTGTACAAGTATGTGAGAGGCCTTGACGGCCCATGTGCATTCATGTTTTAAGAAAGATGATTTATTTATACATTGCTTTTCCACTTATAGTTATACATTACAAGTTGTGGCCATGTTGGCCTAGTTACCAATGATAGTACGATAAGAAAGATATGTTATGTTGGTACTCAGTTGAGTAAGGCACCGGGTGCCCATCGCGGCCCACAATTTAGGTCATGACAAAAGTGGTATCAGAGCGGTTCTGTCCTAGGGAGTCTACAAGTCGTGTCTAGTAGAGTCTTATTTTTGGGTGTGTTGTGTACCACACTTGTAAGCAGGAGGCTACAAGGCATTTAGGACTGTCATTCTTTCTTTTTACTCTAGATCGTGTGGTAGAGCTCAGTTGTAAGAACTTAATTTTCTAAACTCTATCTTGTTCATAATACGACGATGCCTATATTCAGAAGGGCAGTTGGTAAGAGATATAGTTGTGGAAGAGTTCAGTAAGAGGAACTCGATTTTTATGTCATGCTTATGATGGATAAATATAAGGTATTCAACAGATCATGTGTGTACTAAAATGTGTAAGTTACTTGATAAAAATCCCTAAGGTAGAATATCTATCCACCCATATGGTGAAAAACAATGAGAGATTCAGAAGGTAGATACAAGCTTCAACAAGTAAAAAAGAGAAAGATGAGAAGGGACGAGGTACCCAGTTAATGAAGATTATTGGTATTTTCAACTCAGGCAGAAAAATATAAGCATTGTGAGTTATCTTCAACAATAACAGAGGTACGTACAATTGGTCACACCCATTTCAGTTATGCCCTGTGGGAGCTAACAAGATATAGTTTAAGAGAAGGACATGATATCAAGATCTGGGTGGGGTTAGAGTAACCCGAAATGGTAGATGGATTGTTTGCGTTAGTCGATATTTCTGAAGGATATTGCAAATGTGCTAACAAATCTCCTTGTGAGACACTTAGATGGTGCACTCTAGAATAGTACAGCTAGATATGAATACTAGAATGTTCAAAGACAGACACTGGAATTTTGAAAGGGATAAATATTACCTTAGTATGGGTCCCGTTCCTAGCAGAGCGAGAATGCTAGGCAACCCAAAGAGCCAATAGATGAAGCAAGGGGAACTAAAAGCAAAAGAATGTCTTATTGAAGTTTTCAAAAGAAAGTGATAGGCAGAAATATCAGCAGGGAGATAAGGAAGCATTATGAGTAAGGTGTGATACATGGATGACAATGGTAGATAAAAAAATGTCAGTATTATAGAGTCTATAGACATGTGAAGGAAGAAACGAGAGGTGATAAGCCTTGAGACAACAAAAGAGTATAGGCCATAAAGTCATATCCTTATTTCGAGAAATAAGTTCGTGACTCTAACGTAATTACCAGAAGGAAAAGCTAGACCTCCAGAGTAATAGAAATAAGTATGGGATGGCGAACAAGATAAACTAAATATGTATTGGAGACTGAATGATTTGATAATGATCGATATCATGAGAATTTCATATTTCGTTCTGACAATAAAAGAATAGACAACAGAAGAAGATTCATGAGAAATTCAGAGAATGGTCATTCAGAAAGACGCGTCTCTAAAGCAAGCAATGTGAGCAAAGTTAAGCTTAAGGGACTGTATATGCCAGTTACACTAAGTGTCACCCTCACAAGTAAGGAAATTCGTTATCTTTTGTTCAGAAGGATTACCGCAAGGCGAGTAAGTGTTATCGATGATATGAAGAGACGCCAAAGATGAAGAGGTAAAACAACTATAGGTAGATCGTCGTAGCTCTAAACCTTAGTACTCCCCCTGAAGGGGGGAATATGCAGTGATGTGGCATTAAGTTAGAATTAAGTGGTTCTAGTAACTATGGAATGGTGAAGGAAGAATGCGAACAAAATGATAAAGGAATGGGATTGTACTTATCCAAATCCTATAGATATGCTACGATTCCATAACATTAGGTAAGCACGATATCAAGGAGAGGAAGTAATGGTTCCGACCCGAGATGTTTGTGATAAATAAGGAGCCAGTACGAGACGTAAGTTAAGACAAAGGAAATAACGCAAGGAAGATTATGCAGAATATTGATATGAGAATGGGCGAACGAGTATTTAGTATTTAATTTAGGAAGAGCCTATTCATGGCTAGACAAGAGTTTACAGACAAATCAACAGATCGTTCAAGATAAATGTAGTGAACCCCAACATGGGAAATTCAATCTTATAGATATGACATCGTGATCCTTGAGAAATATTTAGATAGGAGTTGGGGTAGTTAAAGGCACCGTATGAGTGTTATGGAAATAAAAGAGAGTCCCACGGGGAAGACAGACAAAACTTCAGTTCAAAAGCAACTGTACGAGCACATGAGTGTGGATGTAAGTAACTAAGGATAATTATAGGTGAGTACAAACATCAAAAAAAAAATTCTATCGGGAATACGATGTGATAAGCTCGCAGC